TATCTTAGTTTCTATCTCCTGCATTCACAATGGCCGCTCAACACATCAAATACAAGCTCTTAGGTAAACTTCTCACAAAAGTAGAAAAAAATTCCACGTGCCGCCATCTTTGTTTTGAATTTTCATCTTTTGATCTCGCGCTTCTTTCGCACGTTTCTCTCGCGCGCGTCACGCAAGAGTGACCTGTTCCCCGCGCGAGAAAACTGGTACGAGCCTCCTTAAACCCGCTGTGTGATTTCTTTTAACATCTCGCGCTACTATGTCAACCAATCAGAAGCAAAATTAGAATAAAGGGTGACTTATAGTCACCCGCGTTTTCCCGCGCTTGCGGCGCGCGCTCTGATTGGTTAAGGATTGCATCATATCTCACTGTAATCACGTCACACGAGGTGACTATAGCAGGAGCGCTAAATTTCAAAATGGCTGCCTCGCTTTTTTGTTTTAATGTTAGCGCGGAACTGATGAACGCAATAAAGAAAATTCAATTCCGAAGAGCACAAAAGGTGCTACTAAGTTTGGAGTAACACTTTTTAAAGAGAGATATGAAGATTTTGCTGATTGAATTAAGTAAACATCATAAATTCTCATCATCATCATCATCATAACGTTATTAATGTGTCTACAAAGATTTAGCATTGCTGCTAATTGGGGACACTTCTAGCGGAAACTGGCTCTTTATATTAATACGAGTAATCGAAAAAGAATTTAAAAGCACCCAAGTAATTAAACTAAAACAGTTTTTCGCCTCAGACTCAGTTAACAGTGTTGAATAATCCTTTTGACTTCGTCTTGGGGATTATCCAACAATATTCACCGAGCCTGAGGCGTATAAATTGTTAATCATTGACTTTCTACAGGTTAGACAGAGCTGGTCATGAGCAAGCCGATAAATTTTACGGAAAACCAGACAAAGAAGAAAGAAGTTGCGATGACTTTTATTACCCAGACATCTGTTCATTCCAAGTAACCAAGTCTGGAGAACATAAACTGTCGTGTGACTCAAAGGTTTGCGGCTCATCACGTGTTCAAATGGGCTCAATAAACCCAAATATGGGAAAAATTTCTGAATGGACGGACTTATCAAAGGAAACTATGGTCACTATGGTAGGAAAAGCCGTGGAAATGGACAGAAAAAGCGGGTTTGGTTTTCTGTTTATCAGGTGCGGAAATATTCTTCAGGTCCTCACCTTTCCTCCAGTGTTGCAGAAAGTTGAGGGTGGCGAGAAAAGGAAACAGATCAGTGTAAATGTGATCAGCATGGATTCTCTCTCTAGGCCGCATTTTTACCGAAGTCTTCCGAGAACTGTCGAGGCTCTACGCAAGATCAAAAATGATTTTAACATTCAAGCCACCGCTCTGGACTTCCAGATTTTCCAGAGTATCGGGGAACAAACGTTTGACAATTTGAGGCCGTTTTTTTGTGGTGTTGTAAAAGGTAAGTGCTGAAATGAACCTACTTACATTTTCCTGAGAAGGTTGATTATATGGAAACCGCTAGTCTAACCAACCACAAATTTTAATTGAAGTGATTAGAATTATTAATTTTCCTGGCTTATAATACGACTTAGCCAGCGATAAGGTACCCAACGCCGTACTAGCGGCGTGCCACACCCCACACCCTAAATTCCTTGCTTGAATTGCGCCGCTTCAAACGCATTATCACAAATGTTTGATCGAATCTAGTCACAAACTAGATTCGATCAAACATTCACGGAGAATTGTCTTAGTAGACTCCTCTCGCCGGGGCGCTCCTCGGAGGGGATTGGGGTGAGGAGACGGCTGGTTCCTCAGACTATCTCTCCTGACAGTGTTGTAAAGCAAAACCAGCCAACTAATAATCGACTGACTTAGCTAGCTAGCTGGCCTGCGGGCAGGCTGGCTAGCTAACTGATTGACTTACTTACTAAATCAGATAAGACGATAAATCTCACCAGAATTGCTTGCTTCTTAGATGACAACATTCTTACTAACACCGTCAGGACCTCAAAGTATTCTTTAGGCGTAGATGTCTTGTATGAGACCTTTCAGAAATGGGGCTACCAGACGCTTTTTCAAGAGGACCTCGTTTGGTTTGACCGTTGGGGAATCGTCTTGACAGACCTTCAAGTAAGATCAAAACCCACAACAGATTCAGAATTCAAAGCAAGGTGATGCTTTTATAGCTATTTAGTTGAGTTTCCATATATCTAGTTGGACTCAGTAGAACGCACGGTAGCCTTGGGCATAGTTAATCGATTAACTATGCCTTAGGTTATCCCGGTGGGCGTCAGATGGAGAGGTCTGGGTCTGAGCGTTGGCCGGGTCATTGTATTGGATTCTTGGTTAAAACACTTTTTTTTACCACAATTGGCAGTAATGTCGCAGTCTGGTTGGCCAATTTGCTGTTGTCGATAAGAGAACAGACAAGGCTGATCGCGTCAACGTGTCACGCAGTGCCTTCATCACTGAAAGAAGTCTTATTTGACGTTCATATTACGGCTGCGCCTAGTGAGTCCACTACATTTTGACCACTGTGATGACGAATATCATTGTCGATAAAAGTACAGACTTCATTTAACCACCGTTGATTTGTTAAACTCCCACAATGCCTCTCTCCACTCGGGAGCATAAATGAATGACGACGAACTTTCAAGGACACTTGAGGAAATAACCATATTCCTTATTCACTGGTTGTTATGGAAACCGTGATAAACTCTGGCGTTGTAAGTTTCTTGAAATATGTGCAAACTGTAACCCAATTGGCGCGCAAGTTGAATGTCGTATTCGCTACTGTGTTCGAAAACCTTTCATTTCTGACATGTCTTATTACATAACTCTCATCAAAAACCTGTCGACTGGGTGACGAAAAGGAAATGACTTAAAGTGACAACGTAAGGGACCGCCTGAGGAGGGGGGGTGGGTAGGGGGTTGGAGGTTTTTGGATCTGTCAAGTTAAAAGTCGATAATACTTGATCCCTTCTAAGGCTTTGTAATAGTCTTATGATTCTTACCCCTCCCCCCTCTCAATTGCAGTTAATTGGCAATCAGTTTTCCATGCGCCCCCCTTTATACTTTGTTAGCGAAGCCTGTTTCTCCTCCGTTCCCCCTGAAAACTATGAAACAACCCAAAATTCTCCCCTCAGGTGGAATGAATTCAAAGAAAGGATGAGCAAGAAGCACATCGATGATTTTGGCATGACCCATTTTTCCGGACCATTACTGGGCCTCAGATATAGCGAAACGAACCATTTTGAAAATCCTCCCAAAGTGTGCTTAAATGGTCAGTTCTTCAGTAAATATTTCATGGATTACATACAGATAGTCAACACCGCCATTCACAACGATCCTCGGACTAAGCCATTAGTTTCGTTCATTCACTTCAACACGGGACACGAACATACTGGTCAGCGGATAAGAAATACGGACGCCCATTTAGCCAAGTTCTTAATCAACATGGCCGAATTTCCAAACACTCTTACTATGTTAGTTTCTGACCATGGGAATAAAAATACGCAGTACAGCTACAAGACTGAGGAAGGAAAGAGAGAAGTTTATGACCCAATTGCTTTCATGGTCATTCCCGATGGCGTCGTGAGAAATCTGGGCAAGCAGAGGATGGGTGCATTGGTTCAGAATCAAAGACGACTTTTCACTTTTCTAGATGTACACAGAGCGCTTATGAGTTTGAACCATCCTAAGAAAATGCACTCACAGGATCCTCAGGTTGTGGGCATATTTGCAGACTTACCCGCAAATCGCACATGCGCTGACTTGAACCTTATGCCACAGGCCAGATGCAAGTGTAAAATTATCGAGAAGAATAACTCGGTAGAAGACAACTCGGACAGTCTAAAGTGGTTGGCAGAATTTGCCCTTGGAACTTTAAATGAAGCTATACAAAAACAGCACATGAGAGGTATATAATGAAACATTAGCGAGTCTGGTTTATTATTCAATTTAAACGCCTTCTCTGTAAAAATTTTTAAACACAGCATTCATGGAAATCAGGTTTTTTAAATGACATATTGTAAGTTAATATAATGTTAGGATTAGGATTTGTAGGTTTTAGGATGTTAGTCATTGTCTTAGAATTTATCGTACCCGATGAGTTTTTTACCGTGTATATATAAATAAGTAAAATTACATTATATTACATTTCATGGTAGAAAAGTGTTAAAGAGTACATCTGGGAGTTTTACCGCTGAGTTTCGTTAAACCATAGACAAAGGGGTACAATGAAGAGGGTGAAGAATAACATTAAATGCGCTATTCGATCGAGTTTCAGTTAAACCGAAAACTGAACAAAACAAGCGTAAAAAAGGAACGTATTAAAAGTAGCCAATAGGAGTTCAAATTAAAAACAAGTTAACTGCCCGATGCGTGGGAAAACGCGGCCAACTGGAAATTTCTGTTACGAATGTTGTGTTTTTTAACTGTAGCCATCCATGTTTAGTGATTTTTTATTCAATTTTTGCACTTTTTCTTTTAAGGCGAAGTTCATACGCAGTTGTCACCGAAGAAATACGGATACGGAAACTGTCAGCGTCTGGTGGGAAAAACTTTTGCAAACATTGTACAACGCTCTCAAGGAGACAGCGTTACCACGACAATGGATTTACACGTAGTCCCTCCGGCCGGATACAAAGAGGATGAAATTTTTAAGGTTTCTGTCAAGCAGCAGGCTAAAACTAAGAACAAAGTCTGGTTGACGAGCTTCATTCGGAAGTCTAGGTACAGCAAATTTACGTCATGCGCAGATGAGTCAGTTGACATTAGGCTGTGCACATGCACCACACAACCAACCGCTGAAGCTATAAACAGCGGCGAAAAGATTGTGAACGTCAACGTTCCAACGGGAATGTTCGGTTCGAAAGCGATTATAAAAGACCTTCACTCAAGTTGTCTCTTATTAGTAAGAAGAAGTTACGGAATGTTTTCTTTCGCGCTAGAAGTAACAAACGTGTGTTTAAATAGAACTTTCAAGTTTGAATTAGTCTGCTCTTCAAGTGAAATAGTTACTTCTAATGAACTGCCAATTAATCTTGAGATAAATCCGAGGACGTTTCATTTCTTGACATCAGTGAAAAGAGAATCCTCAAGCGAAACATTTTCTACGAAGTTTTATGCAAATGTGAAAGTCAAGTTTGCTACTTTTGACGAGTTTAAGGATTTGGGCAAAATCGATGTTTTATGACCCCGAACTACGAATTCTCTTCAGTGACTGCAACATTAAAAAAGGGTTATCTGTCAACGATTTTATTTTCTCTGCTCTTGTGCTATGAAACAACAGACTCTGGGCCGCGCGGACATTCGACTTTCTCTCGAGTGTTGATCGCTCACTATTGAAACAATTTTCAACACGAGAAGAGAATCGCATCTCCTGGCGGCCATGTAATATTCTATTTATCATACAAACACCAATGAAAAACCAAACCGTTTTGCTGCGAAAAGCGCGATTTATTAAGTAACCATAGTAACGGTGTTATTTTCATAACATGCTATTTTCACGCATGAAGACATCAGGTTTTCGCGCAAAACTCACCTGGTAGTTCATTGGTGTTTAGATGATAAATAACCAAATTATCTTGTTCTACCCACGCAGAATTTACACAACATGAATGCAATTTCATACCGAATTCAAGTTTCCTGAATACTAAACCCTTTCCTGGAAAAATTCATTCATGAATGCCTGTTGAATAAATTACTAAAAACGTCGCTCCTTCCAAGAGCAAGATTAAGGCGTCCTGCGGCTAATAAAGAATGGCTACGAAAATTAATTTCGCTCAGTTCAAGAAAGGTGAGTTATCAAATTTTTAGCTGACTTTGTAATTAAGTTTTTGAGGATAGATACAAATAACATATGTTTCTTTCTCTGGACGTTACAGAGAACCTGTACAAAGAGCTAACGCTCGAAACGCCAGCTTGAGCGGAAAAGTCTTGATCTGATATCGTTTCGTCGGCGTTTTGAAAAATATACGAATTCAGTCCAACCTCTAATTCACTAACGACCACCCCTCCACAACGGCCACGTTTTTCGGTCCCAGCTGGCTGTCCATACATTTATTTAAACCTCTCTACAACGGCCACCTCTTCGCAACGGCCATTTTCTGCCAACCCTAACCTATTTTTCTTCAGGGTGGCCGTTGTGGAGAGGTTAGGGACCTTAAGCAAACCAAGACGGCGACGGCAACGAGGATGTGGCAAAAAAAAAAAGATCTAGTGGGTAGAACAGTAGCCAGGACATGCGTTTTAAAACTTTTCTCAGCCGTCCTCTGCAAAACAACAGCGTGAAATCACCAAAATTGGCGTCGTCTGCAAATGGAAATCGCGACGGCAAATTATTTCAATTTCCATTTGGAACTCAAAGATGCTTACTGATACGTCATGCTAAAGTTGTGATTTGGTGCCGAAAGAGACGGTGAAACCATGCAAGCATTTTCGAAACTCGTCCTTAAGGTAGAAGGTCATTTCTAAATTCATTTCTTAAGACAGAAATTAATTTTTTTAATCGACGTTTTCCTTGACGTTTCCGTCCTGACTGCTTAAGGTCCCTGTTCAGTAGTATTCGACCGTCCACTCGACGCCGTATTCAATGCAGATGAAAAAATCCACTCTGGGATGTATTTAAAAAAAATTTGCACATTTACTAGCCATATTTATACGTGGACGGAGCCCAAAACCCCAACGAAAAAGTTCCGCATTCAAAAATATCCGGATACGTGTGGCAGAGGCCTCAAACTCACATCATGTTTAGCTCATTGAACGAAAAGATAGCAACACTCTTCTATCGAGTTATTTACTCGCCTTTTAATTAAATTAATGTAAGTCAATGTTGTTTATTAAATTTGTCTACACATATTACTCTTTCACGTCCGCCCAAGAATGATAAAAAGATTAAACTGAGACTGACACAGAAACAAGACCGTGCCGAATCGAAAGAGTTTATGATGAACCAAATTATAGCTTTGTGTCTTTCTTTGTTCATTCCTCTTCAATGGCTCTCCCCTACCAAACCCTAGCCGTAATGCTAAACAGCATGTATCATTCACATATTTTGGCAAATTATAAGCTAAAATGAAAAATACATGAAAAATTACACGCTTCTGATTGGCTGAAAATGGATGCATTTTTCATACAATATGAGTGCAAGGTTGTAACACGAGTGGAAATTACATATAGCTTTACATCTCATATGTGACCTCGCCTCCTATAGGAGGCAGTACCCACAACAAACTGCTCAAGGCGTATGTTTTATGAGAGAACTACGGCCGAATTCACAGGGACATGAAGATTACTGAGTATGACAGCACCATAAAAGGTAAAACAGTAACCGATGTGGCCTTCCACTCAACTCATCGGAAAGGCTTCCTGGAATTTGCGAAACGAAACGAAATGAAAATCTTACGTTGCAAAATAGAAATCTGTAAAAAATTCGTAAACATGCCTGAAACTCACGAAAATCAAAGAGTTTGGGTCAGTTCCATTTTTTCCCAGCAAACGTGATAATTTATCTTGAAGCATGCTGCGAAATTTTACACCACAGGGTAAACATCGCCCCGACTAAGTTAAGACAACTACTCAAACGTTAATGTAGGGCTGATTTAGATGTTAAGTTAGTCTTCAGTACGTTTAAACTCAGAAACATGTTCAGTGTGAAAGATTCAGTACCGATAGGTCTACGTTCGCGTGTCGTTTATAAATTTTCGTGTGCTGGCTATAATGTCAGTTATATTGGTGAGACCACTCGCCACATTTGTGCACGAGTTCGTGAGCACCTCTTTTCGGACAAAATTTCGCATATTTAAAAGCACCTGCAATCATCAAGGGCCTGTCTTTACTCTTGTGATACTGAATGTTTCACGGTCTTAGATTCTGCCGCTTCAAAATACCCAATTAAGATCAAAGAGGCATTGCATATTAAGTTGGAAAAACCTATTCTTAATCAGCAATTGAAGCATCTAGAATTATCTCTTTCCTGTTAATTGCGTTGTTCCTTGGTCTCTTATTTTATTATTATTATTTTTTTTTTGATCCAGTCAAGCGCGCGCTATTTACATTTTTCGCGTATTTAATATTCAAATTGAAACGTAAGCCCTGACACGTAATTTGTAACGTACCTTAATATAAATTCAAATGTACAACCGTTAAATGCTCATTTGCAACTGAAGATGACATGAGAATGTCGAAACATGTCTTGTAAATTTAAACTCAAAGTTGTCGTTTCTTTTTTGAGAGACAAAGGATTGTGGTTACAACCAAAACAAAAGTGAGATATTATGAGGGCCCTGGTTGGTCAAAAAATTTGTAACTTATCGCGCCTCGCTGGTAAACCCGTCTAGGTAACTAGTAAATTTGCATAACAGAAACCAAAGAAATCCAATCAGCGAAATATGCATCGATAAATTCCCTTGCGTCAAGCTACAAACAAATACTTCATAGAATTCCAGTTTTACGGTGGAAAAAAGAGTGGATTTACAAGCGTCATTTCGGCGAACAAATCATTCCGGTCTCCAGGAGCAGATGCTCCCGGATCACAATTATGGGTGAAGCAAAATGTGCGAGAGATTGTTAGATTTTACAGCTTATTTCGGCTCAAAGGCGGGCAAATACAATATTTTGATTATGTTTTAACAGAGAAAGGCATGCTTGGAGAATCTATAGAAACCTTACATTACCCGAGTATGATCAGTGTCACTTCGCGCAAACGCGGTTACTTCGTAACTTCGTACCCAACTTCCTAACGAACTTTCGCAGCGCAGCAGCGCAGTCATCCTCAGAGACCCGGGGGCTGAGTCGATTTCAAGTTAGGGCATGTAGAGCTCCTGGGGACATTGTCTTACAAGACGAGTTCCAAACGGTCGCAGTCGTTGTGCCATCTGATTGGTGCAAGAAAATCTTTGTGTTTTTCTGCCCAATCAGAGTGAAGTGTGCTTTAGAGTCCTATCGTGTGTTTCAACACACGAAACTAGCTCATTTGCTCGCTTGTAGCTCAGTTGCTCGCTAGTAGCTCAGTTGCTCGCTATGTTTGTTTGGATCGTGCGACGCAGATTTGCTTGAGGTGAAAAGTCTCAGTCTCAGCGGCACAATGTAAGAGAAATCGATCAGATTGTCCGCGAAAATCTTACCGGAAATTATACTGAATACTTTCGCAGGTATCACTAGAGAACGTGTTTTAAAGTTTGCGAGGTTTGTATAGAACACGATGGTTGCAGTCATTGATATGTCGGTTTAACGTTAAACGAGATTTAAGCTTAAATCTTTCAAGATTTTTTGCATAATTTGCTGTGACTGAAACTTTGCCAATCCCGTGAAGTTATTTCGTCGCACAGGCCACACAGGTAGGTCGGGCAACTGGCACTTTCACATTCAACTGAAACTTCCCTTATTCGACTCTTGGATCAGATTCTCTTTGATATTGACTGTAATAATGTAACTGGCCTTGTGTGTATTGATTATAGTAAAGCTTTTGACCTGATAAATCATGATATTCTCCTTGCTAAACTGAAGATGTATGGTGTTGATGATGGACATCTACAATTGTTTCGGAGGTACCTGGCTGACTGTCAACAATATGTTAATATAAATGGGTGCATTTCATCCCCACTAGGTATCACCCATGGTGTTCCACAAGGAGGTATTTTGGGCTCCTTGCTGTTCCTGACTTTCATCAATGACCTCCCACAAGTGATCTCAAACTCTACTGTGAGTGTTTATGCCGATGATACTACCTTTACCTCTAGTGCTCATTGTACTCTGGGGACAATAGCAGTTGAAGCAAAACTTCAGGAGGACATTGACAGTCTTTGCGCATGGTCTACTCAAAATCGCATGGTCTTAAATGCCGGGAAAACCAAATCTATTCTGGTAACTGGCAAGCGTCTCAAGTCACGTGTAGCTGACCCTAGTTTGAAGTTGCAAGCAAATGGAACAGCTATCGAGCAAGTTATACATCAGAAACTGCTTGGGGTTACAATTGATCAAGAACTAACTTTTAAGGAACATGTAGATAAACTTTGTAAGAAGCTTAGCAAAAAAATTGGCCTACTGAAAAAGTTGTGTACTTATTTACCCATTGAGGAAAGATTACTCTTCTATAATGCCCTTATTAAGCCGGTCATGATGTATGGTAGTATAGTTTGGACCTATTGTTCTAAGGAAGATCTCATGAGAGTGTTTCGGTTGCAGAAACGTGCAGCGCGTGTAATATTAGGTACAGGTATCAGATCAAGAACTGTGGAAAA